TAAAGTTAATTTGTAATTTCTTAACATACTTGAACCTCTTGGGTTTTTCTTTCTTTATTTTTTTTCTTCTTTGTGCTTGTGTGATACCACCTTCAATCTGGACTCAGCTTACACTACAGCCTAATTGATCTCGTCTACCTAAGATCAAAGTCACAACGTGGGTAGGTTAGACTTGAGATCGAAGCAGTTACTCCAGTAACCAGACGTTGCAGTGAGCTGGGAATGATAGAGTTGGCATTGAACCGGTACAGCTGGTGAAGCTATTAACATCAACGACCAGAATTCGACCCTGGTGCCATATATTGGAGCTTTGACCACTGGATTTGACCCTGGACAGCTGAGTGTCACATATTGGTATCTTGACCAGGGGATTTCGCTAAGTAGCAATGACCACTGAATGACTAGGACACGGGCTGGTGGCGACAAATAATCAACCCCAAAATGCCGGTAGAAGAAACCTTACAGCTTTGCGCTGCGACTGGCAGTTGACCATGGGCCGACGGCTTGGTGTCACAGTTTCATAGAAGTTAACATGATTTACATTCAGACTGCTGTCTGTTATTTTTGATTCTTTCTAACTCAATTCTTATCTCAGCTTTTGATGTACATTTCAGGACTAGATGTTCAAATTATAAGTACTAAATGTAAGCCTCATCATTATCTTCATGCTTCCAATTTTTTATGGTTGAAGGGTGTCTCGTTTGATTTTTATAAGATATGTATTTCACTCCCTTGCTTTTATAAATGTCTGAAGTTCTGAGATTAAAGTTTCATAATTTCTATGATTTATGTGGTTTAATCTATAGGTTTTTGTTGTTTTCATCACATTTATGTCCTCTTGTTTGCCTCAGGTATATGTGATAGGCAGTACTTTGTCTTTTTACATCTTTGCATTAGGAATAATTTACAACATATCAAAGCCTCATATTCTCTTACTCATTCAGGAAATTCTTACATCTGACTACAAAGAATAAACAAACAAGATAATACCCCAAAGGAACATCTGCACTGTTGGTAACAAAAAGAAAAATTATTGGATGTCACTCAATGATTACCAGCTGTAACATATAACCAAAGAAAGTCAAAATACATAGTGATTGAAATATTGTGATAAAAATAAAAATGATGAGAAATCCATTTCTTTTACTGCTATTATTGTACATGAAATTAGAAGCAAAAATATTTTGATATTACATATTTCAGCTAGCTATCAACAATTAATTCAAAAGCTATCCACACTTGATCTTTTCAGTGTTGTTCTTATTACTATGTAAATGGATGCAATTTTTTTCTGAAATGAAACCAAAAAAATGCCACCCTATTTTTAAAGATTTGTCAAAAATCAGGGAATTATCTAATTTAAATGAAACTTTTAGTACTTATTAATTAACTAACAGAATTTGAACCTGGTGCAACATATTGGAGCTTTGACCACTGGATTTTTTACCATAAATCACTACATTGTTTGAATAAAACAGCTGTTTTTTACAATATGACCCTGGTGAAAGGTCACATTATTGAATAGGCTGTTTTATTAGAAAATTTTGTGGGAATATTGTGTGTACTTTTAACTTGGATGGTGTTCATGAAATTCTTTTTACATTTGTATAAAGAAAAAGTCCTGAAGGTGTTATTTCAGTAAAAAATTATGCAATGTTGAAAATTCATCCTGAACCTTACCAAAAGTAATTCAATAAAATTCAAAAACAATTTTTTTTGAGAGTGGATGTTTGCATAAAACATTTTCTTTCAGATTTGACAGGAAAAAAATCCATGCTGAATATTTATTCTTAAAAACTTACTTACTGTTGTTGTTTGTAACAAGAATTATTTTATTAAATAAAGACATGTTTGAAGAATCAAAACCTGTAAAGTTTAATGCCATTTTCTAGTGTGAACACTTTTTAAAAGAATTTTATTTTTTCATTTTTTTCTCATCCAATCAAACAAAAACTTTGTCTGTTGCATGCTGCATCTCCTCCAACACTTCCTTCTTTCTACCAAGCCAGTTTTTGCTTGGAGACATTTGAAAGCAGTTGTTGTCATTGAATCTTGTATGGTTTTAACCCTAAATCCTTTTCCACAATCCTCCTTACTGACCTATCCAAAATAACCAGATCTTTTGCTATCTTCCTCATGCTTCTTTCATGGATTTCTCTTCACTTTCTTCATGATGGCTTCTATGACTCTCCTGGTACAAACTAAACGGTTTTAAAAATCCATGATGGCACCTAACCTATTGTGCAAGATTATTTTTCTTTTTTTATAGATTATGTTTTAAACTATTATCATTTAAATATAACCAAAATTTCACTAAAAAGGAGACATTTAAATTAGGTACCTTCAAAGAAAAGTGATACCTAAGTTTTAAAATGCATTTTTAAAAATGAAAAATCATTCTTAAAGCTTTTAGTTTTAATTTCAAGCTAATAGATTAAATTTAATATTTTTAATAAGCAAAATACTTTCAAATTGTATTTCAAATTGAATTTAAATTGATTGGAATGAGTTTTTTTTATTATCAGTAAAAATGTTAAAATCGTCCATATTGACAAATCTATCAACACAATGTAATTCTCTTTATTAAAAGATCTTTAAAAAATAAAATACTTTTATGAAACTTTATTTAAGCAAAATTAGCTGATTTAAATTTTAATTAATTTGATGAAACAAAATTACTTACTTTTAGTTTAAAATATCACAGGAATAGCATTTAACTTCTTGATAGACTTATGTGTGGGAATTTTTTGTAAGAGGGACATAACTGTAACAATTACATCCCAAATAATGTGGACGCTTTTATATATATATATATATATATATATATATAACTACACGTTAATCTTAAAAATTTAAGAAAATATTATAAGCAATCTAATATTCTATTGAATTTTAGGTATTTTGTTTTTTAAGAAAATGCTGAATAACTGTAAAAATGTTAGAAAATTACCAAAAAATTTTAATTTTACTATATAGCTACTGCTCTTATTTTCTGATAATGCCGCGTTTGGTCATTCCTATTTACAAAAATTATAAACACATAAAATAAAATTCAAAATTATTTTTAAAATATAGGGTGTTGTTGAATTATAGTTATCTTCCTTTTCCATTTATAATTAGTAAATAAAGTTTTTACTTAATTAACAATGTCCACCTACCGCTACGCTACAAATTAATACAGAATTTGAAAAGATTTAAAACTTTATTCTAATTAAAATAAAAAATGCAAACAATTGTAAAAATTCATTATTCGTCAAAAAAGTTTTTTCTAAGACAATAATAGTGTCCAAAGCAATTAAAAGCTTTTCTAATTATAGATTTTTTATTGCATGTTTTATTTTACGATTTATAGCAGATTTTCCTGTTTGACGAAAAAAAAATTCATGATTTTTAAATTCTCGGAGGACTAAAAAACTAAGCGCTACAAAAAATTCTCGAAATTTAAATAAGTTTTTTTTTTCTTTTAAAGCCATAAAAATAAAAAAATAGTTGTTTTTTTCTCTGTAATTCGTAAGGAAAACCATCCATAGGTTTTCGTTATTTACTTGCGGATAAAAAAAAATATTTCTTTTGGGATAATGGCAAAAAATCAGAGTCCAGTTTTGCAGCATATTTACAATACATTGTTTACAATAGAATGAATAGGAATATGATGCTAAACATTGAACTGCTCTGTTAATGTTGGACACAAAAATCAGGATCTACTTTTTGCTATTACATGTACAGGGTGGTCCGAAAGTCGTGTCATACCTACATAACATAATTTTCTATTTCAGATGTCTGACACGAGCTCCTTCAGGAAGAGAGTTAAGGGGTGACAAGACTTATGGACCACCCTATAGATTAGAAATTGAACCCTCACTTTAGCTACTTCGCTCGATTTCAGTTGAAAACATTTTCTCGAAAATCAACATAAACGCAGAGGACACCAGACAAAAAACATTTTCGTAGAAAAATATAATTTCTGTTTAAACATTTTTTAACCATAAATCACTACATTGTTTGAATAAAACAGCTGTTTTTTACAATATGACCCCGGTGAAAGGTCACATAACTAATGATCATGAATACACAATCAATCACAGCAAGTTTAACTGTTTTCTTACCTGCTGATTGTTGAATAAGGAACATTTCTTCAACCAATTATTACCTCTCACCCATATCTGATACAAGTAAGCCAACTTATTGTTTTCTAATAGAAACATTAACGTATTTTTTTGTTTTGCTTTTAAGATTCGTTCCGAAGTGACTTTTATTTGCTGATGATGACCCAGTTTATTAACAGAAATCGAATATGCATACAGGTGTTACGTCTTTTGAAATGCTCTCTGGCAGATCGTAGGTCAGTGGTATTTATGTAAATTTCAATTGAATAATGGATTGATTTTTTTAAATTGTCTTCTTGATTGACTTACCTTTATCACATGCAGGAAAACTGCTACAGCTTCTTTATGTATATATTTACTTAGCTTATATCATTTAATTTTATGATTCTCTATGACAACGCAAAACAAAGCGTGAAGAAAGAATATCAGATCTTTTCGACTCAGAACTCAAACTCTTGTGAATGAAACTTGCGAACGATTTTATTGTAACGGACTTGATTTCTCTAAACAAAAACCTGATGCCAAATCCAGAAAATAAGAAGGCATGAAATAAGGTTAGGCAAAGTCAAATCTTTTGCAATAACACAGAATTAAACTACACATCGTTCTCTAACTTATCACGCTTCTCACTTAACTCTTGTGAAGACCATAAGGTGGAAGTTAATTTTGCGCAGGCGTGATCACCTAACCGGAAGTTTTTGTTATATTAAGCGTCGTGTTGGAGAAGCAGCAGTAAAGCATAAAACGGACAAGACGGTAAAAAGCTACGTGGACTAGATGAATAAATAATTATAATAAGTTTCTTTTTTGTCTGCCTTGATCGGCTAGACATAAAGTAATTGCAATCCCAATGATAGGTTGTTAATGAGCTATACAACTTTCGGATGACACGGAATGTCCTTTAAGCAAGTCCTTGACGGTCTCAAGGCGGCAGTGGAAGCTGGACGGACAGACGTGGTCCGATCCGTCATTTCTACATTGGAAAAAAGTGAGTAAAAAGGATTAAAATACATTGGAAAAAATTATATGAAATTGATGTTGCTTGTTAGTAACTGTTGATTATCGTAATGCTTCGTAGATGTTGATTTTTTTTTTTTTAAGGTTTCAACACTTGTAAACCACGCCTTCTTAAAACTTTACTTGCTCACTTACACACTACACAGTACGTTTTACGATATAATTCCGTCACGTGAGCAAACATTTCAGGTTTTTGTTTAGTGAGGTTTTTCTACTGATGGCACTTTAAATTGTGATTTCTCGTATTTCTAGCGCTTATTTTTTCCTAAATATAATGATTTTTATTTTTAACGTCTTTTTTTACGAGTTTGCTTTATAAAAAATAGATGAATTAAATAGATACAGTTAAATTTAAAACTCAAAAAATTCCAACTCCATATACTTTAAATTGCTAGATGCCATGATCTTTCTTTTGATACATTTTTTTATTTTATTTTTTATTTTCTCGGTCAAACAAACAACAAAACCGTGTTACTGTTAAGTAAGACAAGGACAGGAATATAAAAAAAATCGAGCAGTTTGGGGTTGGGAATTGTTTTTTTAAAAATGTCACAAATTTTAAATTTATTTAATTTATCATTAAGGGTCTTTAATTCCCCAGCATGTCTTTTAATTTTGGTAAATTTTATATCGGGGTGGACAGAGAAGATACACAAATTTCAAATATTTGCATATGTTCTTCTCTAAAGTAGGAAAATACCTGTTGTAATTTAAAAAATACCTGTTAATTTAAAAAAAAATAAAAAATAAAATAAAAGCAACATGCAGAAATTGAAGGTTCGGTCCCATAGGTTGAATAACGCAAACCGACCGCAAACCTTTTTTAACTTTATTCAAGCTGATAATTTTTTATTTTTTCCAAGTCTCTTATTTTTTAAAATAATTTTTCTCTTATTAATTAAACTATGTTACGGATATTATCGCCGCTGATGATTTCAGAAAAACAACCCCCCTTTTTTATATATACTTTTTTTTTTTTTTTTTTTTTTTTTTAGTACATATCAACAAATAAGTTTAAAATGTAGCTACGTAGTACCGCTGAGGAAAAACCGAAGATTACCTATCGAAACGTCATCATTAATTTCAGTCGACCTAAGAAAATTCCTGAATATCCCATTTAAAAGTAATTGCTACTTTCAATCGAGGATTATATTCGAGATAATAAAATGAACGAAAAATGTTTACCATGTTAAATTAGTTTTAATTAGTAAAAGAACCGAAAGAAAAATTACTAAAAACGATAGAGGCGTTACGAAGAGTTTTTTTTTTTTTTTTTTTTTTTTTTTCCAAGAGAAACTTTTTACATTTTACAACCTGATTTATTTTTTTTTAAAAAAAGAGAGAAAAATCAGTGACTTAAATAAAATTTATTATTGAATTTGAAGTTAAATTCAAAATTGGGATATACATGACTTCACTTCATCCATGCTGTCTTTTGCCAAGTGATGATCAGAAAATGGAAAGGAGTAAAAAAGACTCTTGCGTAAGAATGAGTTATTCAGAGTAAATAAATAAATGAATCACTTATTGAGGCATTGACTCACTTTCGATGAATGAGTCAGTCATATTCATTTTTGTTAAATTTGTCAGCATTTCATCCTCGCGGAATCTATTTCATATTATTTACACTGATTAAGTTTTTTTTTTTTAGTTGTTAGTTTTACTTTTAAAAATTAAAATATTTAAATTCAAAATAAGTAGTTCGTATTTAAATACGTACTAAGTTTGAATTGAATTTATAAAAGTATTAGAACGAGTATTTCTTGTTAACCATCAAATTCACATATTTTTAAATGTTGGAGTAATTTTTTTTTTTTTTTTTTTTTACTAGGAATATTTATTCAATAAATTATTTCGGTAATTTTGTTAATTGCATTCATTTAGGAAAATGACACTCAAAAATAAACTGAAAGTGTACTTTTCAAATTACTTTTCGTTTTACTTACCCTTTTGGCTTTTTGTTTTCGACAATAAATAAATAAATGGTGTTATATTGTTATATCGCTTCTTAGAATCAAATTTATCTTCGATTTTAAACGTCCGAAACAAATTCCGAATGATAAATAATGATTTTATCCCTGTGTTTTTTTTTGTTTTTTTTAAACCTAGCCTCATATTTTGAGCACGCATCCCACCCCTAATTATTATTTTTTTTTAGAAATCGAATTTGTAAAGTCTTGTTTAAAAAATAAAGTAAAAAGTAGTGTAGTGTCTTAAAAATGCAATTTATCTTTATTCTTTATTATAAAAACTAGTTAATTCACAGATATACGTTGTCGTTACGAATAGGTTGCATATGGAAACCTAAGCTCATTATCAACTTAGGTGGGGTACCGTTTAAAACCACTTAGGAACATTTTCTTATGGATTCACTTAAGATAACGAATGAATGCAGATATACAGAGACTGGAAACGCTACAAAAGAAGGTACGATATCAAAGTGGTATTATCCAAGAATTATTCCCATCTGAAATGAAAAAAAATGCATGTCAAGACAAAACATTTTTAAACTTTTAATCTCTTAGAAAACTTAAGTCATCTTTGTAGACATGTCAGGTTCTTGCCGGCTGAACAATGATCTATATTGTTTTCCTGGCAACATTTCTAGGCACAAAATTACAAATAAGCCCCCCAAAATGTCTTGCTTGATAATAATGAGTAGATAGCTACAATAATTGGTGATGAATTTTCAATGGTCTTTTTGTCTTTGATTTGAATATTCTATTTTGTTTTTGTACTTTAACTTTTATTACACACTCCTAGTGACTAACTTTTCTTGTGTATTGGATTTTGTGATGAATTTTTAAGAATGTAAATAAATTATTAAGTGATAAAAAATATGTAATAGTTAAGAAGGAAATAAAGAATTTGGTTTTTTTCTTTGCTATTTTACACACTCAAATTTAACTGCTAATAAAATAAATAAATCATCAAATTTTCTAACATAGAAAATTTGATAATTGTTTGTAGTATTATTAATGAATTATGTCTTTAATATATGCAAAAAAAAGATATCAAATTAATTTAAGGGAAACCTTAAATTCTGATTGGCGATCTGAATAAATCTGAATGACTTATTCGGTCATCATCAAAAAAAAAATTTTAAACTTTTATTTCACTCTCTAAATATACTGTTCTAATTTCTTGATTTTTTTTTTTTTTTTTTACTATAGAGAATTAAATGATACAAGCTATACTTTAATTAATATGAACAGAAGAATGAGAACACTGTTGATTGAATAAAAATATGGTTTAATTTAAAATTCCTGGAAGGTTTTCACTCACAACAGGTATCTGAAGAAATCTGAAGGGTTCCATGGTTAAAAAAAATGTGACCATAACAACAAAGATGAGGACTCTACAACTAGCAAATGAGTCTAGCCAGTTTAGTTTATAATTCAATTGTTTTACTTTTTGGGAAAGCAATGATCTGTTGAAGATTCTCTTCTATTGTTCTGAAAGTGAGGCATTAGCATTAATTATGTTGTCTGGAGATTAAACTCCTTCCTTTAGGCGAGTAAATGAACTATCCACTCAGTTATTGTATGGAGCATTTATCCATTTTCTTGTTTTTTTTTTTGTTTTTTTTTTGTATTTCTGGTTTCCTTTGTCAGTTCTGCTTGGTTTATATGATTATGAGAGTTGTTAGTTTTAGCTTTAAGAGAAGTAATCTTTATTTAAAATTCTAATTTTTTATAATATTAATAATGTAGGAGATAAGGCTTTTTTTACATATTTAAATTTTTTTTACACAAATAAATTTTTCTCTTACTTGAAAGACTCACTCATTTAAAACTTTTTTTGACATTTGACACAAACTACTAATCCTATTGCTATATCTCATTATAGCTGCTCTGTTAGGAGAAGAAATCTGATTTAAGTTGTATTAATCCACTATTTTTCTTTAAGGATATTTTTATTTATCCTCTGTAAGGGAACAGCTGCAATTTTTACTGTAGAAATTGATTTTTCAACCAAATTTTTTTTTTATTGATTAATACACGAAATGTGTTACTTTGTAAATAAATGCAATGTACATTTGTTTGTAAAATTTGAATATAGGGTTTTTTTATTAGAAGAAATTTATTTTTCTCTACTTCAGATACAACCTAATATTTTATTTGAGTTATATATTTTAACAGTGGATGTGCGTTGTGGTGTAATGGATATCGGCTCTGAGTGAAAAACTTGGAGAGCTGAGTTTGAATTCCAGTCAAGATCGTTAGATTCACTTATGCACAAATAACCTTGGAGAAAGGTATGAATCCATCTCTTTTCCCCATTCCAGCTATGAATTGAATAGCAGGACAGACTCGGTTAGCAACCAGTCTAACATAGAAAGAAATGGCAACCTACTCTGGGGAGAAAAAAATCTGCCTTGTCAGTCTTGTTTTGATATATATCAAAAGATACATGATTGCTCAAGCGTGTATCATGTATGACACTTCACTGACTGACTGACTGATATTTTAACATACCACATATTTTATGATAACCATGCCAAATTTAAATTTTAAGGTTTATTAATTTTATTTTATTATTATTTATAACTTTGAGAGGAGCAGGAAGATGATTTTCTAGCTTTGTCAAAGGGATAATGGTTCATAATTTTTTTTTACACGGTGGTAACAAACATGAATTTCAATTGATTTTTTTTTTTTTTTTTTTTTTTAAATGAAATATGATTTTATTAGAAACAGTTTGAAAAATTATATCATTCTATGCTGGCTTGTATTTATACTCTTGAATCCAATGCTTGTGTTGTGTCAATATAGTGAATTTAAATGTACTGAATTCAAATTTTAACTATTCCTATGGCATCCAAGAAAAAAAAAATAGTTCAGTTTTGATTGTGAGATATATATAATCTCAAAACCACAACAGTAAAATGGAAGTTTGTACTTCGTATTATTTTGAGTTGCCTACTTTAGTTCTAATGATAACTAAAAGCTACTGACTCGAGATTCAAAT